TTTACACAACGGGTTGATAAAATATATAATATGCACGTTTCGGTTACACAATCTTATCACCTGATAATAGTAAAATTCGAAATATAGCCTATCAAACAAATAGAAAAAAATATTTAAAAAAAAGACTACGTATTTTTATTCTCGTTGCTATCGAGGTGGGCTTGCGAAAGCGATAATTCAAGCAATTATTCAGCAAATTGAAAATTCCGCTTAATTCAACAAGTCGAAAGGTTATCTGAGTCGAGTTTTTGGGGGCTCGTCCAGCGTAAATATATATAATATTACACAGATCTTATCTACATCCTATTCGATAACTCGTATATAAACTAATCCCACTCGTTCTGTATGTATCTTGGATTTTGCGATGTTCCTTCCATCGACATCAAACGTTATCAGCGCGAATCAAGATTGCTGTTACCATCAGGGACGAGAGCAGAGAAATATAAATATAAACTTCCAAAAATATGATGATGATGATAATAAGATGATTTCGAATCTAAGATTTCCGAAATGGGAACAGAAAAACACGCTCGTTCCGTTCCCATTTTACACGTTAGACATTATTTACATAATGCACACGAGGATGGGTTGGAATTCGGGTTGACCGTCTGGACCAATTGGTACCTGCTCGAAGGCTAATTGCACGAAGACGTCTTGTGGTATTTTTCCACGTCTAGGGCGCATTTCAAGTTCGAACTTGTACTTTTCCACTGAACGAACTTCCTCGGTCGCAGGTGTTTGGACCCTCCGGGAATAAATTTATCAGGAGCGGAAAGTTTTTTTTTATAACTTAAGAGAAGAAGACGTCAATTGATGATTGAACTCGAAAAGCACTTACTATTTGCATATCTTTAATCGCCGAGCCGAGCCACTCGATAGTTGTATTGTTGTTATTATCGATGTATTGAAAAGATTAAAGGTGATTTGTGGACTTTCGCTTTGGCACGGACTTTGGGATGATCTAGAAATTCACACATTTCCATGGAATGTTTACCTCTCATTAATTGCGTCTTTACAATGTAAAGGAGTAACTTTCAACAACGTCGCCAATATCAGAGTTGTCGGAACATTTCAAATATTTGCGAGCGTCCAATATTTACCATAGAATATAGCAATCAAACAGGCAAAAGTAGCGTTTGGTAAATGAAATCAAAATATCATTGCTTTCCGTATCTAAAAATTCGATTCGAAAAACTAAATAAAAATTACTATTTTATCGTGAAGTATTCGAATTGTTTCGATGGAAAGCTGCTGCTACGCATGTGAAATAATCTGTAGTTCAACCTTGATAGATATAATGTGTTATTTAATAGTTTAAGCTAACGGTGCTTCAAAATTTGGTACAAAGTTTAATACATATTCAAATCTACGTCGGCTCTCACAATAAACTTCTGCGTCTCGACGATCGTTTCACAGGGACGGCGGCGACGACGTCAATTAAAAGTAAATAAAATTAAAAATCGGAAGCGATATTATTTTTCAAATTTGAATTGCTTTCACCTAGTTACGACATTGATGCGATCAATTTTTTTTTTAAATTAATTTACATCTCGACATTCAAGAGGGCACAGTCTGCCTTAAATGCCTTTGCTTTCTCCACTTTTCATAATCTCAATTTATATTGATTTTTCGGTGTCTCTTGCTTTCTCCCAGTTTCTACGTTTGATAAAATCAATTGAATTTATGCGTAAGTTGAAATATTCATAAGAATGATAGTAATTGATTTCGTAATATTATGAATATTTTTTTAGTTACAAAATCAACGAAAATAGTCAATATCAGTTTTCTTTCATGTAATTACTTTAAAAGAATTACTAAAGTATATTAATGTGACAACAAAAAATCCTTTTTGTTAATACACATATTACAATGTTATTTTTCAATTTAAAATAATAGATGTTAATTAGGTAGGCAACTCTATTTGCACGAATTGCTTATTCAACTTCACTCATGGTCAGCGCCTGCATATGTTTTACTTTGGTAACTCAGATTAGATTAGGTAAATCATCAATGAACAAAAACAGTGGCTTGCGAAATTATGCAAGATGCGCAAACTAAGTGAAGTGTGGAGGGGAAAAGAGAAGAAGTATATTAGGTTAGACGCGTATAAGCAAAAACTAAGATTTCCAATTGATTGCGGATCGTAACTTGTTAAACGAGCAAATCAGCAGTTGTCATTAATCAGAGTTGTTTGAAAAAAAAAGAAGCTAAATTGCATTGTTTCCAACTGATCATACTGTACGGTGGCAATCGAAATCCCGACAGTATCAAAATCCCGATTGTTCTAGAATACATCGGGATGGGAGTTGTGATTAGGAATAGGGCTTTGTTTATATTGATGATTAAGCGACTCACCTAATTTGGAGAATTCAAAAAGGTGGAGTTTTTTTTTGTACTTCTGTATCTGTTTATACAATAAGACGTATAGACTAAGAGACTTCGTAAATACATAGTTTGTTTTTTTTTTCTCTATTAACAATAATAATAATGGTTAGACACAACAAAATCTAATTTTTATAATCATTTGTTTTACGTCTATATCAAATATTGGATTGGTGCAAAATTATCAGACGATTTTTTTTTAAATAAAAATTGCAGTTTTGTTTATTTTTTTTTTAATAAAAATATTATTTTATTTTCAAGTAATTACTAAAATGTAGTAGGTGGTGACTACGATCTGGAATACTGTCGGGATTTTGATATAATCGGGATTATGGTTGTCAGGATTTTGATACTGTCGGGATTATGGTTGTCGGGATTTCGACAGAAACCCCATACTGTAAGTATTTAGTAAACTCAAATCACTTTCCAACAGATTGTTAATCTTTGGCATGTGTTCTATGGAAACTTTCCAGGAACGTATAGTGAAGTATGAGCGTACATTTTATTTGCATTATAATTATAATATATATTTTAGGAAATAGAAAATGTTCCAAATTTGTTTATGTATAGTGAAAAAGAAATTTTACCACCTAAAGCAGGGGGCAACGCGGAGTAATTTTAAAGTGTACATACTAAATTTTAGACATTTGAATAACAAACACCCATTCCTTGCACAGTGCCCATTTTCATCCCACAGTGTCCGCTTTTCTGAAATATGCCCTCCTAGTACAAAAAGATTGCCGAGCGCTGACAGACTAATATCAAAGATGAAAACCCTCCAGCAAGCAACGAAGTCATTCTCTAAGCTTGATTCAGATCATTTCCCAAACATTCCGATCGAGCATAAGTCCTAAAATATTAATTTGCCTTTTATGAGAAAAGATCAAGAGTATAAGCTGCCGCAACAGATGTTTACATTGGACTAAAAGAGATTATTGATGAATATGTCTAAAAATCTACTATTATTAAATGGGATGAGCGTGCTGAAGAAAAGAGTATCGGAATTCGAATATATAAATATATTTTTATAATGAAATTGTGTAAAGGACTATTAGATTTTCCTATTTCACGCAGTCTCGCGTTAAAAGGAAGTACCATAAAAAAGGCACAAAACAGAAATGACGACAGTTGAAAATCATTTAATAAAATTTATTGGGAAATGTAGGAATTATTTAAATATTCAATCATTGAATTTTTTTAAGAAAATGGTATACAAAATACCAATTTGTTAGCGTATAAAAGAGAAATGTAAATTGTTATTCTTTCTCGTCCTTGATAAAAAGATAGATTTTATGTCAGTTCATAAAAAGTTCTAATAATTTTTAAATATTTGAGATATGCAACCATATTTGCACTGCGATTTAAATTTCTCACACTGAGGCGACATTCACAAATGATAATCGCTTTCCATTTGTTTAACTTCACAAATAACATTATCTTTGATCTTTGCAACTTTACAATTATTAATCTACCGAAAAAATAATCAAATTACTTCGAAACCATTTACATCGAGTAAATTATTATTATTATATATATACCAATTATTATGCGGTATGTTTTATCATTTTTCATAGTCATGCAGTCATATTATTAATAAAAATACAGGAATATCTCGCATACTATTCGGTTCAGCTTATATACAGGACTGTTTGAAACCGAACAAATCGAGGAACTAAATAAATATAAAAGAAATAGACTGTATAAAGTCACTTATAGTTAACCGCCACTATGGAATTGCTGTACCTATTATAGTTTGAAATACTTAATAGTGTGAGTTAAATTACCTCCAGAGATTTTTTGTAATTCAATTTCAATGATGAATATACGGAAATTGTATTTTAAAAGTACAATAAAAAAATTGCTATATTTAATGGATTTTTATGAAATATGGAATTAATTACTCTTTAATTGGTGCATATATAAAGCCGGTTTCATTGCATAATAATTGAATTTGTTTTGTCTTAAAAACATAACGGTAAAATAGAAAGAAATCATTAATTTATAACAAAACTAATGCGTTAATCAGTATACATTCGACTATAAACTTTGTTTAATTTTGTGTGCGTTTGTGGCTTTAATTATTATGTGGTGTTGAAAATGGAATTGCGGAAGTTGAAATGGAGAGAATAGAGAACAAGATACCGCATCGGATTGCATGCAACTGTTGAATTCTCAATGAGCCGAGCCCTTTATTATTAATAGATAGAATGTTCGCATAACGACATTTATAATAACGGTGGTAACTGGAGCAAGAAACCGAGTGGGTGAGATTCCATTAACGAAAAGTTGAGCGATTGAAATGTGCATTAAAATCCAATTTACCGACGATACAGTAACGAAGTTGCAAAACAAGAAAGTGAAATTATCTACAAAAAAAAAAAAAACTTTTTCGAATTCCATCAGCAATTAAAGAGAAGCGAACCTTGAACTGTCGCGTGCAGATTATCTAACATTCATTAGTGCCATTAACGCGCGAGTTCGGTAGCGCTTCAGTTACGCAAGTGGATAAAGAGAGAGAGAGACTAAAACAATTACGTGGACGCATCCAATTGGCACCGATGATAAAATAAAAAGGTGCCAAATAATAAATAAATTAATCAGAAATGCAGAATGCTCACCTGGTCAAGAAGAAAATCATCACGGCTGTTCGATCTGTAACAGAGAGAAAGTGAGAAAATGCGTATTGTTGTTTTGCGGAGAAATCGAATCCGAAGATCACACTTATTATTTTCTTTATTAGTTAGTTTTTTTTGACTTGTTCGATGAATGTAAACACAAGATCTCGAAAATCTCTTCCGATAGTTCTGGCTAATCGCCGTAGGGGAGAGCGATAAGATAAGAAGATGTTCTCTCCCCCAACAGCATAATAATAATAATAATAACAAGAAGTAAATGAAAACACTAACCGTCACTGCGTTTCCTATACTTTACGAAAATTTCCTAGCGTTGATCTCCTGGATTGAGCGCGTTTGTTAGTATCGACGACTTGAAATCTGTCGAGTCTGATTGAAACGAAAAAAAAAAGTTTTTTTGTTCGAATACACTTTGCGCGACTTATCTCGGCGGCTTTCTTCTTCTTCTGCTCGAAAAATAATATCGAATGCGTGTTTCTGTCTGTCCACACAACGAATACAACACATGTACATTCACACGCAGCTCATACGCACACAAATACACAGACAAACCGGCAGAGTTTAGCTGTGCATATCTAAATGTTAAAATGTTATCTATTTTTCTTCACTCGGATACATCGAGATGACCCTAAAGGAAACTCGGGCGGCGTATATTTTTATGTTTCGATTCGATGGCATTCACTTGTCTTGTTGTCTATAACCGAACGACCGACAGACAGACAGACCATCATCAAATCAAATCGATCAATCCAAAAAGTGCACGGGTTCTTGTTCGAGCAACAGGACAGGGCAGACCTCATTAGCAAACGGCGCGCTGCTCTAGGGCTTCGATTTCGGAGACTGATGATAATAACCGGTCCCCGCTCGTTCGTATGGCTTTCCATTCCTCACATATTCCGGATCAACGATCCCAAATACACACTCTCATATATATATATATATATATATATATATATATATATTTTACCTACCTACCTTGCAGTTCCTCTCTCTCTCTCCCTCTTGAAAATGGCAATTCGAAAATGTTATTTTTACCGTTGCGCGCGAATAATGCATATGCAATATCCATTCGGCACAACACTTTCATGTTACGGATCAATTAGCCAAGTGCCGATCTCTAAACGCGGTGCGTCATTATCAGTATTGATCACAACCAAAATCCATTAATATCATATTTCCTGATACGCGCAACAAGCGAGTTTGATTAAAAGATGCAGACATATGTTAGAGAAATCATAACATTCGGCTCAATTTACTTGTGCGAGATTGTGGTCAATCATATTAGGTTTCATCATAATCGGTTTGCAACATAAGATTCTCTCTCAATTAGCCAAATTTAAATAAACAAACTTGATTCATTTACATATTTCCATGTGCTCCGATTTGGTTCCGATCAAAGCTTACAAACTATACTCTAACTATACATAAAAATTGAATTAACAATCAAATATAAACTTAGTTGTTGGGAGAATCGAAGAATCACGATCAGGCCCGATGATCATTTACAATTGGAATAATATTCCATTAATATATTATCAATAAAATATACTTTTAGCAGTATTTCTATGAAAATGTTAAATAAATAATATTATATGTTTTTCGTATGCAATGTAAATAATTTCATTTTTATATATAGCGCATAAGCGACGGTAGCGAAACGTGATAATAGTTTTGCGTGTACAAAGTTGTCATTTCCTACTTAATGTTAACAGATATAAATGGAATAATGATACAATCATCTTTCTAATAGTAAACGTAACACAATGATAATATGTAACTCATATTGTGAAGGAAGTATTTGTATTCGAATATTCCTTAAAAAATGATTACATAAGATTGAATTAAAAAATTCAATTTAAAATAATGTAATTAATATCATAATCAAATTGGCTTAAATATCATATTTTATAAATTAAATTAAATGACAGTTTAAATTGCAGTAGTTTCAACCATTCTGCTGATAGCTGAAATTGAATTGATTGTAGATCAAAACGATGAAAGTTAAAAAAAAAATCAAACTTACATTTCAAGTTGCTATCTCCGGCTTCGCCCGGATAAAACTACAATTTAAAAGAGAAATAGTTGTAAAAATAGTATCAATCTATAATGAATAGTGAACACTTACCCTGGAGCTGACAGTGTTCGGAATTTTACTTTGAATTCTTTTCATTTGTGATTTAATGTTAACACGCTTCTTTATTTTAACCATCGGCGAGATTTTCACGATACAATCGCTTTTCGGATGTGGCACCTGTAATTAAATGATAATTAAACGATATTAATAGTCAATGTTAAATCAGTTCTCTGTTTTAATATTTTAAGGTCACATTTAAGATAATAACCATTACGTTTTGTTATAATGAGTTTGGGACTTACTAGATCTGATATGCGTTGTTCCTCCATCATCATTTCGCTCGCATCTATACCTTTAATTGGGAACATCATCAATTTCGTGACTATATTGATGTTTAACTTGATATTGCTGCAATCCGGTATGATGATCTTGTGTACGGTTCTAAATAAAACTTATGTATTGAATATTATGTAACTGCATTTTAAGCTGGTGCAATAAAACCTGGGCAGAAAGCACGGGGCAGTGTATATTTCTCTGGTGTTGTGATCGACGACCAAACCCTCGATAATGATTATAAACTCCACCAGTTCCGAAAGTACCAGGATTTCATAGCAGTTCAAATTGGGAACGACGCCACGGTACAAGATTAAATTCAGTTGGTCCTGGCTCGCATTCTGGTAAACCGGAGTCTCGGATAAAATGCTTCTACACAGATTCCAGGAAATGTATTTCCAAAGTCTTGCAGCCAATCTGCAAATTAACGAATAGGTTAATGTAGAAACGTTATAAAACATATATAGTACCCCTCGATTGGATCTGCACTTAAGTGCATAGCAGCATTAATAGCATCAGTGGGTATGATGTATGTTTGACTTGGGACTGCAGCAACTATAGTGCAACTATGCGGCCGTCCGGTGAGAACTGCAATCTCCCCGATAGTATTTCCCATTAGAACATATTCCTCGTGTTTTTCTTTAAATCTCTTATTATTTAGGAAATCCTTGATTGGCAGCGCTCCGTAGTTCTTCAAAAGCGTAAGCATTTCATCGGATGGATCATATTGCATTTTAATGAGACCTGTGAGAAGTAAAAAAAAAATAATACATTGAATATATAAATATGTTTATCTATTCACCTGCAACAAGAATATAGATTCCTTCAGCTGTATCTCCCGGACTGCAAAGCACTTCGTTCGCGTCCCAAATTTTCGTTGTTCCGTTTATGTAGAGGTAATCCATGATAGCTTCATCACCGCATAACCATGGGACCTCGTAGAAGAACGCCTTTGGACTAACGGCTGTCATCGTTTTGTAATAAGAAGCAGCTCTAAAGCGACCATCGAGAGCTTTCTTCAGCTTACCAAACTCAAAAACATCAACAACTCCTAATGTTAAACACGCATATATATAAAATAAGAAATGAAATAACAAACTCACCGTCGGTTTTCAATTGGTAAATGTTATTCCTCATGAAGACAAGAGTTGCTAGGATGGCCTGTTTCGTTTTCACATTTGTAGCTATCCACGGTCGCTCCTTGGCAATGATTCCCAGCTCCTTAGATACGGTCACCTTATCGTTCTCCAGTTGACTGCGAATTCCCTCTTGGATTTTGAAGTTGTTCACGATTTTCGGAATCAATTCAGTCGCCTCCTCGTAACCAATCACCAAAGCCTGCAGCCAGAATGAGACTAATTATATTTCAATGACAGCAGCGTCCATCAATTTACTTTTCCAATTGTAAACGCGTATGTCAGTCTATTATCTATCAAATTGTCGCAATGCGACAGCATTTTCAGGTAGAACTTTTCGCTGACGAGTTTTGAGAGCCTCAAGATGCGGAATATCCTCAAAATTGCAAACGATTCCAGCACGTAATTATAACGAATCGCATTAGACAAGTAAATCAAATTGGTTATTATGATGTCGATCGTTGCGAGGATGAGCATCATAAAGTCGAGACGATTCCAAATCAACCTAGAATCATTCATGAGAGGAATTTTAACTAATTAGTGTGGATTGTGTTACCTGAAAAAGAGTTTGACACCTTGCGAGAGGCTGTAGTTGGAGTACCCCACAATCTTGATGAAAAAATCCACCAAATATATGGTAAAGAAGATAGTGTTCACGATGACCATAATATCAAAATCCGGAATATGGTAGTATAGTAATAACATTTCGACGACTGCGGAAACGATATTCAAAAGTATGATGGCGTACAACGTGAACTCGTAGTTTCTGCTGATGGCAATGGTGTAAAACGTCCGCTTAATCCTGTTCTGCGGAGCGGTGCCCAAATCTCGAAACTTGAATGACATCAGGTATTTTTTCAACTTCAAAATGACTTGCTGCAATTTAAAGATATCATTGACTGAAACTATTTCCAGGGTGTATCTTCCTACGGTATCTTTGAATAATCTCATTATATCATCTAGATGGATGATTAGTTCTTTAGAATCAACCGCTTTTTCAACGTATTCTAAAAGAGCCCTCAACTCATGTTGATCCAAAATGCCTACTTCGTATTGCTTTACGTAAGAAACACGCTCCGTTTTCAGAACTCTTCTCCTCACTTCACTGAAAACTTGACAATAATTAATAGTTTTTTTTAGATAATCGCGCAACTCACTTCATCATTTCCAAGTAGTCCTTTTTAGTCGGGTCGACTGGAACGTTCTTCACGCACGTCGGGCAATAAGTTGTACGAAATCCCCACAAATCAGTGTCTTCTACTAGCCCGTGGACGGTCTCGACTTTGAACGGATTGAAGAGTTTTGTGGCTTCGTGTATCAAGGGCCAATTGGAATCCGAATAAAACCTGTTCATCTTCAAGGCGCTGATTAACCTGAGTCGCCTCTCATTTATGAATTTGAAGCAGTTGTTGATATTGTTCTTCCTCGCTTCGGAGAAAAGTATCAGTCCGAATTTTTGCAGGATGAACTTCAAGGTGGTGCCGTTTATCAGGTAGAGCAGCACTAAGTAGACCAAAGTGAAGCACAGTATCTCCGATCCAACGTCGTCGATGATGGAATGATGGGTCAGGGCGATGGTCGTGATTATCTGCAGCGGACCTTTCTTCGCTGCCCAAAAGATTGCCAATAAACCGGTAAAATCCAATCCGTACCCAATGCGACTCAGGATTGGCGAGAGCAGAAGCAATGTTAAGAATCGAATGACACTGCCGATTATGTAAACGCCGAGGGCCAATGGGAACTGGAAGTCTTTAAAGAAGTCCAACAATCGAACCATCACGCAAGCTGAGAGGACTACGGTAGAGAATAATTCCGCATTGTAGTAACAAATGTTGAGGAACCTCTGTATCTCCACGTCCACATCGAGCGAGAGGCTCGGCCTTTCCAGGCTCAAACAGAATATGTTTATGAAGCAACCTATGGTTCCGCTGCAGTAAAAGATGTGTTCACACAAGAAATAAACCATGTAGCTGCTCGCAACCAGAGCAACCACGGCGTTCATAAAGTCATTGTAGAGCAGCCTGAACAGTACTGCAGTAGTCTTCCCGAGGATGTAACCCACCACCGTGGACACTATTATGTATCTCAAATAGAAACAAACTACCTGGTACCATTTAGTTATGATCCCTGCGTAACCACCAACGCACAAATCGAACGTCATCAGACATAACGCAGTGCCGAACGTCGACTCGCCGTCCATCAAGACCTCTAGATTCTTCACCCTCTCCAGTTCCAAAATAAGATCCGGAATATCGATGGGCGCCAGAATACTTCCAGCGATTATCACGTTTATTAGGCTCGCCTCGTGCAGTGTTAGGATCATCAGGAAGAAGCCAAAGATCAGTATGAACATGAACAGGCCGACGGTGGACACCAGCAATATCTGTGAGAGCGATTTCATGAATATGAACGTGTCCACAGTGTACAACATCTTCAACATCAGAATCGGCTGCAGCACAACCAGAACGTCGTAAGGAGCCCAGAATCGCTCAGCCATCCTATGGAGTAACGGCATGTAGGTGATAATAATTCCCAATCCTCCACCGACCAACATCGCAACCAGTTCATGAGGTATGTACAAGTTGCTGAGCACCGAAGTCAGGATAATAGCCAATAGCACCGGGATCACGCATATCGCTATATCCGAATGTAGTTCGTGGCTATTCTCGTATATTTCGAAACCTTCCAAACTATAATTCATTGTCCAATTATAAAACAAACTCACTTTAACATTATTTATTATCTCCCTTAGCAACATCAACTTTTCAATTATTTTTAAATAACATTAGTTTCCTTGATTCTATTAACTAAATAAAGTAAAATAAAACACAATATTAATTTTATTTCATCACCATTGGCAACATCAGCTTCGTAATTGTTTTCTTTTAATAATAATAATACCATGATTTGATCATTTACTAAAAGAACTTAAAATGAACAACCTCAGATTTTAAGCAAATTACGTTTCAAGTGCAGCCCTCGCCTGCTCCAAGATTCGCTCCTTCCAAACGCTATACTCCTCAATTTTCTCACATTTCTTTGGAGATTTTGAAACCTTATTCTCTTTAAATTTAAAAATAAACAAATAAGCTTACGCAAACATAAATCTACAGGACATACCATCATTTTTAGCAAATTCCTCCAAATAAGTGTGAAACTCATTGGCGCCCTTCCTCTTCTTTCCGCCGATATTTGCTGTGAACCCTACTTTCTCTACGAACTTCGCAAACTCCGATTCCAGCTCCTTCCATTGCGATAGCTTCAATCTGCTTATCGAGACAAGCTGGGATTTTTGAATTTTAAAACTTTTCAATCTAAAATTGCATTTCAAAATCAATCGCAGATCTTAAGGTAAATCTATTACACATTTTACTTGCACGCTGTGAATACTGAAACAGCTACATACTGGGGATGATCCAAGTCACTTTGGATTCCCTGATTCTTGTACTTTTCATAAATCTTTTCTGCCAATTCCTTGACAACAGTGCAACTGAACTGCACACAGACTTCTCCAATGGTAAGAGGTTTATCCAATTCAAGCACCTTCTCTACCATGTGCAGCTTATTTTGGTAGGCTGTCTTCTTTAAACCGGATAATTTAATTGCTGTTTCCTATAATCAATGTACATTATAATGATTGTAAATCAAGTATATGTTATGTACCTTATCAAAGCCAATTCCAAGTAATGATGCAGCTAGATCCAAGCAAAAAACAGCCTTTGCAGAATCATTCAGATTTTGGATACCTCCTTTATTTTGATACATACGTAGAAATTCCTCAGCCTTCCTTAAATATGTTACAAAAATAATAATGGGCTTTTGTCCACAGTATTTATTCCCAAAATATAAAACATTACATTTCTTTCAATACATTGGTTTAATAAAAATAAAACTAATTATTTCTTATTATCCCTTGATAATTGATACTTGAGAATCTAAACAGTTATCTTACTTAATTATGGGAATCTCATCTTGAAGGCCCAGACGTTCGCTAACATTCGTAAGTATTTTGTTATCCGTTGAAGACATTCTTGTGATATTTGAGCTATTTTCTTTGAGTTTCATCAATCTTATTTTGTTGGTTACGTTTTTGAATTTTCGGTTAACATATACGTTACTTATGCAACAATATGATCATCACATGAAAGCCTGGAAGTATAATAGTCAGGAATTTAAAAACTCCATAGGCGTCCGAAGCTGTTGTCGAGGAGGGCCATTTTCGATCAATGACTTTTCAAAATACAGTGAATCACCGATTATCCGTAGTAATTAGGGAACGTTACAGCACGGATAATTCAAAAACACGTATAATACAAACATCGCTTTTACATCCAATCTACGTTTTACTGTATAATGAATAGACTCTATACCAGCGTTTCTCAATCTATTTGGTAATCGAGCCAACATTTTTATTTGTAATTTAATTAAATCTGATTCGATATAATGCGGATTAGTTGAATTCTAAGAGAAGTTATATATGTTAATGTGACTTCGTATAGAGCTATTAATTTAGAAAAGCATCCTAAGCACTAAACGAGGTCATAATGTATGTTAAAACGGGGTATATAAAAAAAAATTCTAAAAAATAGCAATTTTGGAGGAGCTGGGATTTGAACCCAGGACTTTCAGCATGCGAAGCAGACACTCTACCACTGAGTTACACCCCCGATGCAAAAAATAATGAAAAAATTGTCTTTACCTTTTTTAACAGACAATAATTATACAATGGAACCATGGAATTTAATGATTTTTACTCGTAAATGCTCGTAAAGTGAAACAAATTTTCCAATATAACTTAATAATAACTTGGTCTTGCTTTTTAATGATTTTGCTTTTCTTATCTATGGTTATTTAAACTCGTTAAGCGAGGTTCCACTGCATCTTAACTGTATTATTATAGAATAATGGTTGGTCAAAAAATACACATAATATGTCAGAACACATGTTTGGAAAATGTTGTAGCAGGCGAACATTCCGAAACTTCTCTTCTCCTCGTCACTGAATTTGTTTTACTCGTTAAGCTAAATGCTTATTAAGCGAGGTTCTACCGTGGTTTAAAATCACCAAATAGAAAGAAACTCTTCTTTACAAATACTAATATTTATTTTTTTTAGAAACAAGGACGCAATAATAAAATTGATTATTTCTGAACTTACGTACTTCATTGTCAATTAACTAATAAACATATTTAATTAGTTCACAACGTATTTACTATTTCTCCCAACACCTTCGATGATCTTTCCGGCATGTCAGTAGAGCTTGCAGAACCTAAAAAGCGTGGATAGTTTTTCAGAAAAACATAAACAATGTTTTCGATGGTATTGAATAGTTAATAGTGAAATACTTATGAAAGTACCTTTGTAAACGTAGCTTCTTGATGTTGTCGAGGCAAACTGGAAATTAAATGTTTTGTTAAGAATGCGATGAATGATAAATCATAGGATATACATACTCGTGATTTTCCTTTTCGTTTCATATTCCACGAATGGCGTCTACTCCTGCTATCGGATTTGCCTATTTCCAGCAGATGCTTTTTATCACTTTTTACCATCTTAATCAGAAATATTACAATGTTTAGTGAAAGGAAACTGAACGATAATGTAATATTTACCAGCTCTGATAGGATTTGTATTTTTTCCATAGTTTCATATTGATCCGCGTCTTTTACAGGAATTATAATCAACTTTGTGCAGAATTGGACATGCATCATAGTGGAGGCTGAAGGAAGGAGCATTTTTTGAACTGATCTATAAGTTGCGATGAGAATGAACGAAATAAGTTTTCTATTGCAAAAATACCTTGGCACGTAGCATGGAGCGGTGTAGATTTCTCTTGTATTGTTATCGACGATAAGGCCTTGAATTAAAATGACGTCTTCGACGAGTTCACTAAGAACGACCATCCTGTAGCAACTTAGATCTGGCACAAAAGATCGGTTCAAGATGACGTTCAGTTTGCTTTCACTGTAAGAAACGTACATCGGCGTATCTTGCATCACTCTCCTCGCCAAAATGAACGTTATGTACTTCCATAAACGTGCAGCCAATCTGATAGATGGATGATGTTGATATAAGTTAAATTAATGGAAGTTAGATTTAATAGTACCCATTGACCGGATCGCAGGAGATGTCGATGGCTTCATTCATGACCTTCGCAGGAATGATAAAGGCTTGACTCGGAGCATCGGCGATGATGGTCGAACTGTAAGGTCTGTTAGTTAAGACCGAGAGTTCTCCGAGGCTGTTACCCATCATGAGATATTCGTCCTGTATCTCTTTAAAGCGAGTGTTTTTCAGGAAATCCTTGATCGGTAGAAGACCGTAGTTATTCATCAATGCCAGATACTCATCGACAGGAACGTACTTAATCTTGAATAAACCTAAATTCGAAGAGACATTAAGTCAACGCACCGATTTGAACGAAAACAAAATTTACCAGCAACCAGTATGAAGACACCTTCCGCGGTTTCTCCTTGCTTACAAATGATATCACCGGCATCCCAAATTTTAGTTGTTACCTTATTGTACAGAAAGTGAATGATGGTGTCATCTTCGTAAATCCAAGGAACTTCAAAGAAAATACTTTTAGGCGGCATCGTAGGAAAACTCTTGATGCTCCCAATGTCTTTCAGAGTGTCGGTGATGGTCAAGTAAAGCTTCTCGTACTCGTAATTATCAACAATGCCTACAATAATAACCAAAAATCAAGTGATAATGTAGGTGTGCAATTAAAAAGATATAATAAATACCAGCGTATTTCAGTTCGTCCACGTTGGAGATCATGTGAATCAACGTAGCAGCCATTGCCTGTTTAGTTTTCACAGTGATTGCAATCCACGGCCTGTCTTTTCCTAGCATTCCTAATTCCTTTGTTAATGCCAACCTGTCGCTATCCAGCTTCAGGCGAATACTTTCGCGGATTTTTTCATTATCGGACATCTTCGGTAACACTTCCAAGACATCATCGTAACCTACAACAAGGGCCTTTCCAATGGTAAACGCATATGTGACTCTAACATCAATCGCCCTATCGCAGTACGTAATAAATTTAGGGAAAAAGTGCTCCAGCAGCTTCATTAGCTTAACAACACGTAGCACTCTCGTAAACAGGAAGAACTGCAAGTAAGCATTAGACTTAAGATCACCATAATCCTCTATAATGGGCGATACAATCACATCTATGCTGTGCAATATTAGAACCAGCAAATCAAATTTATTCCAGTGACTCCTACCCAATATAAAAAATCATTTAATACAACAAATAAACAAATAAAAAACAGTTATTACCTAGCATAATATTTACATGCAATCTTGAAACCGGAATTGGAGTACGCGATGATCATAACAATGAATTGTATGAGATAGAGCGCAAAAAAGAACGTATTGTGAAAGATCATCATGTGTTTGTTGTCCATATGATAAGCGTAGAAAGTGTATCCGACGACGAGGCTTATCATTTGAATGATGATGATTAAGAAGTAGGTAATGCGAAACGCTTGATGCAAGGTTAACTTGTATAACCATCTTTTGCATTTACTCTTTGGCAACATGTACGAATCATCAGCTTTAAATTGCAGAAGATACATTTTTATCTTTTCTAACAATCGCTGAAAAAACGATAGGTTATTAAATGCTACTATGGTCGCACAAGGTGATCTTACTTTGTCATTGAACATTCGGAACAGTTCGTCCAGTTTGATAATCATGTCTTGAGAGTCCATGGCGATTTCCACTGCTTGAAGCAAACCGCGAAGTTCGATCTTTGTCAATAATCCATTTTCGTACTGTTTGGCATAGGACACTCTTTGTGCTTTGAGCACTCTTAAGCGGACTTCCCTAAAACATTTCATTTTTTCACACTCCATGTATTAAATCAAAACTAAAATATAAGCTGCTTTCTAATAAAAAAAAAATACCTGGAAATGTCTGCGAGGTCCTTAATTGATGGTTCAACTAATATGTTTTTTGAACAGCCTGGGCAAATCATTTTTCTCTGTCCCCAAATATTTTCGTTGTCTGCTTCACTTTCCTCCGTGTCGCCTTTGAAAACATTCGTGAGTACAGTTGTACTTTGTATCAATGGCCAATTTGCATCTGAGAAAAATCTAACGAGGAAGTATTATATATTAAACTAATATAAAATAGATTTACAAACCGATTCATCTTCATTATGGATATTAAACGAATTCTGCGTTCGTTGATATACGAGAAACAATTATTTATATTATTCTTCCTTGCTTCGGAAAACTCCAGCAACCCGAATCTCTTCAAGATAGCTTTTAGCGAGGTGCTATTGATGAGGGCCATCAGGAGCAAGTACATGATGGTAAAGCAGATGAACTCGTTGCCCATGTACTTTGTCAGGTTGTAATATTGGAAGGCGGAGATGTGAAGTAGCTGCATCGGTCCTTTCTTCGGGGCCCAAAAGAGAGCCAACATACTTGTAAAGTTGAAACCGTAACCTATTCTACTCAAGATTGGTGATAGCATCAAGAGAATCAACAGTCGTGCTACGTTACCGGCAACATAAGAACCTAGGGACACCGCCACTTGCAGTACGCTCACCAATCTGTAAATGCTGGTAACGATGTTCGAAGTTAACAGAATGACGAAAAACAAAGTTCCTGTGTAATATCCAATGTTGAGATAGTTCTGAATGGAATTGTCCACATCGGCGCATAGGCTTCCTCTCTCAAGAGCTATGCAGTACATTTCTATAAAGGTAGCTAGAGGTCCACTTGTGTATATAATGTCTTCGGCGAGGAAATACACGAAGAAACTGGATCCTACCATCAATGTGGCAGCGTTAAGGGCATCGTTATACAATAGTTTGAAGGCGACAGCAGCCAACTTTCCCACTAAGAACCCGATGATTATCGAGACAAATATGTACCGAATGTAATAGCAGATAACGTGGTACCACTCGGTGACGATTCCTTCGAAGCCGCCCAAGCACAAATAGAAGGTCATATAACATAAGGCGGTGCCGAAGATGCATTCACCGTTCATGAGCACCTCCAAATGCTTGATTCGGTCCAGTTCCAGTATAGCATCTGGGACCTCGATCGGTGCCAGAATTATACCGGCGCTGACGATATTAATAAACGAAAGGGTGATGAATTTACTTGGTATCAGCATAACCAGCAAGAAACCAAAAATGAATATGTAGATGAGCAGGCCCAAGGTTGAAATGAGGAGGATCTGCATGATGGACTTGGAGAACAAGTAGGTGTCGATGTTGTAGACCAGCTTCATGATTATTATCGGATGCAGTATCATCATCACGTTACGTGGCTCGATGAAGTTTTTGTTGTAGATGTAATACTCACGCACGTTGGCGATGACGCCAGCAATACAGATACCCAGCACCAATGTTATCAGCTCGTGTGGAATTCGCAGCCTGTTCAGCAGAGATGCGATGACCATGGACGCGAAGAAAAAGATGAAGAATATCGGTAGGCTCCTGCCCACCCATCGGATCTGAGATCTATCAAGTTGGTAGACGACTTGGATTTCCTTGCCCATATCATCGATTTCTCTGAAGAAGCTTATGTTATTCATGATTGATCTTTGTGAGTTGTTGTCGTTGTTGCTATGTACAATAAACACACATTTGTTTCAAATGTATGACGTTATTTAAAAAATGATAATTTTCAAAATTATTGTAAACTTAGTGTGACTGAGTCAACGGTCAATCTTCACATATGATTTGATCAATGTGAGCTTTGTACTATTCGAATATTGTTTTTTTTTGTGATTAATAATATACGCGTTACATAAGACAGAACACGATGGATGATCCAAATGACTACATTGAAAATGTGAATACTATATCATCGTTATACAGGATTACTGTGGTGAATAACTGGAAGGATGTACCGGCGGTGGGGTTGATGGCCCTTGGAACTTATGTAATAATATCTATATATTTAAGTAAACTCGCCACGAAGTTTCGATTGCCAATCACTTACAAGTTTATTCTTCTGCTGGTATCCATATTCGTGACCTCTTGCATTTATTTTACCAAAATTGCTTCGTTTAATTTTCTTCTTGCGATCAATCCACGCGTCGTGTTCGCCCTCGTCCATCCCCTTTACATCTTGAAAATCGGATACGGCTTGGATGTCCACCTGATCAGTCGTGTCGTGCCGCAGGTTCTCCTCTTGAGCACCGTTGGCCTAGGTATCTTCAGCATGTTCATCGGTGCAACGCACATCTCCCTCGGCGACGTGCCCCACATGATTATCTTCATCCCTGTATTTGGCTTTGCTTTGGGATCTATCGACAATTTGGAAACTATAAACGAGCTGAAGGAGTTCGAGAACCTCAGATATATATTGGTGACGCTGGAGACGGAGTGTGTGATGGGAAACGCGATGTGTCTGATGCTCCTGCAAATCTTTTTCGGTGTCATGGAGGGATCCATCGTGGAATGGTATCACGTGATTTGCGTGTTCCTGCGTTACTGCATCGGCGGCATCCTCTTCGGCATCCTCGTGGCGAGAAAAGTTCGCATGGTCCTTGTGAAACTATTTGACGAAATGCAGCTGTCCTTCCTGGCCATCTTGTTACTCACGTACTTCACCTACTTCGTTTGCGAGTACGTGCTTTACCTTTCCGGTCCACTAGCTACGTTCATAGTTTCCGTGATCATTTCCGTCGAGCGGACCCGTCTCACCAACGAGGTGGAGTCCAAACTGAACCTCTCTTGGGACATTCTCAATTCCATCCTGGAGTACATCTTGTACATCGGCACAAGCTCTATTATATTCGTATTCGCCATCAAGAACTTCGAGTTGGCCAGAATCTCCGAGTACTTCATGATGTACGTGGCATCCTTGATTGGACGATTCCTTTGTCTGATGATACTGATGCCGTTCCTCGTCAACATCGGGCACAGTATTAAGTACAAGTGCATCTTAGCAATCTTCTGGTTGGCTAAGAAAGGCAGCATCCAGATGCTCATGTTCTTGCTGATATTCCATCACAGTAAGAGCCATGAGATGGCGGCTAAATCTTGTCCGCACACGCTCACCTTCATCTGGCTAAGTCTCCTTATCAACGGATGTTCCACCAAAATCTTTCTTCGAACATTCGGCCTGACCGCTATCAACAGGATGAAGAAGACCAACATGAATAATTGCATCAAATTCATCGAAGCCAAAAAGAAGAATTTCATTGCCATGATGAAGACTGATCGATTTCTCTCCGATGTTAACTGGCAGATGACCGATGTTCTAACTACGATGGATCATCCTTACGAGATGGAGTACGATGAAGATGATGATGACGATTATCTTTGGGGCACCAGGCAATCCTTCTGCGCCGACTGTCGCAAGGAGGTGGTCATCGAGCCGACCAGGAAAGAAGTTATCCATCTGAAAGAGTAATTATTTCGTGAGAGGAATTATATTTACATTACATTAAACTATATATTTCAGTGAAGCCAAAATCAAGGTTTTGAAAACGCTCAAGATTTCATTCATAAGACAGCACGAAAAAGGTTTGCTGTCGACGGATGGAATGAGACCGCTTCTTCTGGCAACAGAAATCGCAATGGATGCGCATAACTTGCAAGTGAATATAACTCCGTTATTGAATCTATTCACAAATAAGGTTAGTGTAGTAACTATAACTATATTCATGTATTTACGATTATTTAGTAAGTACAAATACATTGCCCAATTGAAAATATTATTGATCATTACTAATTGCAAAGATTAGGATAACTGCGTATTTTTTTTAGGCATGGTATGAATACGTGAAAGAATTTCTGTTGCGACTCGAGAAGCATGGATTCACTAAATGCAAAAAACCAAGAAACATGTTCAGGAAGATTTGCTACAAAATTTGCATGAATAGACTTTACGAAATTGTGATTTACTTGTACATCATCGCTACAGTTGTTATTTATTCGCTGCAGCTGAAAGGCGAAATTGACGACAGTTTACCGACGAAAATCGAGACGCTGATTTTCTTTATTGATTTCATATTGAAAGTTATGGCTTTTTCGCATATTTACATCAAGGAAGGCGTGAAACTTTATTTCCAGTGAGATAATTTTCTGGAAATGTGTGCACTGAATGAGCTTTGTTTGTTTGTTTGTTTGTTTTAGGAGACATTGGAACAAAATAGACTTTTTCATTTTGGTAACAGATATGTTGAGCGTTTTATTGGATGAGCTGAGCAGGTTCAAAATTATCGATCCAAGATCTTTGGAGCTGAGTTTCATCGAGTCGTTCCTATTGTATTTAGATCTGATGAGGACTTTGCGTTTACTGAAGCTTGTCGTGATTTTGTACGAGTATCGAAAGAATTTCATTCAAATTTGCGAAAATTTGCAAACTGCACGAATGTGTTACGCTTTGGATATTGGTCAGGTAATTGAATGCTCTTTCATCGTAACACAATTTGTGTTTATTGTGGTTTTGAAGGCGGTGATAACTTCCTGCGAGGAAGTGTTAAAATCTATATCGCAGATAACGGGACATTCGGAAATTCGTAAAGACATTGAGATTAAGATGAAGAGCGATAAGCGTTTACTGCTGTACGAGATCATCAACATCCATAAGAGTATGCCTTGGGTTCCTGTCACGGTAAAAAGTAAAAAAGCAATGCGGATTGCTTTGAACGCTATGAAGCAAGATATGCTGGATTTGAAATCTTCAGGTGAAATATTCGAATTATTTGCTTGCGGTCTATTCAAATCTTGTTTGTTTAGGTATGATCGATGATTCGGATTTCAACAAGTTGAAGCAAAGCTACGAGATGGCGATGAAGACGGTAGTTCGATTGAAGAGTGTCCCGATGAAGCGCATCGAAGAGATTTACTACGAAGTTCCATGGTTGTGGCATTCGCATGATTTGGCGATTTTCATGTTCATAAACTCTACGCTGACCACATTCGAGGCTGGAGACATAATAATACAAGAAAACGAATCCACAGACATGATTTATGTGATAATAGAAGGTTGAGTTGTTCAAATAGTTGATAATTACAAGAACAAAGTAATATGTAATTTCAGGTTTCGCCAGATTGAAATATAGTCCGAAGAACCAAATGGTGCGCGGCTACGGGGCTCTACCGATCAAAGATTATATCCAAACCCAATACTTGCTCAATTCGAAAGATGAGATTTTGATACCTGGCAATTCCGTTGGTGAATTGGCAACCCTGACCAACAGACCAAGCAACTGCGAAGTCGTCTGCGAGACTGCAGTTAAGGCCTTTATGATACCTTCTTCAACTTTGCACGATGCCATTTCCTACCATGGCAACACCAAAAACAGTCTCTTCAACGATCTCTGGATGTTTGTAAGCATCCACCTGTCGGTCTCTCTTCTCTGGGAAACACAAATCTACAAGAACTTCAGCAAAGAAGACATATACAACGTCGTCATGCGCGCCTTCATTCCTGACCTTTCTAAGCGCAAATCGTTTATCGGGTCCGATAGGATTAAAGATATCCTTTTGATTGAGGGTGTCGTTGAGGATATCAAAACAAACAACATCTATTACGCTCCTTGTTTCCTACCCAGGTGATCAATATTATTCAAAAAGATTTATTAACCAACTGACAAATCCTAGATCGGCGCAAAAGTTGATTTTGAAAAAAGATTCCGAGCGGAACATCGAAACCAAATTAGTGATAATTCCCGTAAAATCCACTTACATCGACAGCATTATGTCTTATAGAGAAGCTTCGGAGACGGTAAGTTAATTTGTCTTAAAATGATCATTCTATAATTAAGCATTCTATTTTTAGTATGTCGATACGGAGATTATTAAGAAGAGCACACGAAACGAAGGTGATTCCCGACAAATTCAACCTGGAATTCTGAAAAGCATTCTTAAACAGAAGGTTAAGTAGCTTTTTTTTTTTTAATATATTTTCTTGTTTTAATTCGTTTGTCAATTTGTTTATTAATAAATATTTACTTAGCAGTTTAATGACTTAATATATAAAATTGAAACTGCAACCATCTATATAAAAACTTTCCAACTTTAGTATCGGATTTTATGATACATGCAACTATATCCACAACCGCCCCCAAATCATTTGATTTGGTACAATATCGTATGTTTTAGATTGTAATGATAAAGAGGATGCAAATGATATTCTCTTAAATGAAGATGAGAATTTTTCTCTAACCTAATGGACGGATGAACGGATATAATAAGTAGACGTTAAACTTAGGTTTATTATATTTGAGGATGACATATGGAATTCAATTGTACGTTTGGTTGCATAACACGTTTGTCTTCGAAATCACTTATATAAACATATACAGTGGAACCTCGCTTAACGAGTTTAACGTGTTCCAAAATTTCCGGATTTTTACTCATATAGTGAAATACTCGTTTAGTGAAACTCGTTTTCCCATATAAACTAAATAATGCGTCCCATGCCGGAAAAAAAGTCTCGATTTTTCATGATTTTGCTTTTCATATCTCTGGTTATTTTTATTCTTTGGCTTTTTATTCGGATACATACATGAATAAAGTTGGTTCCACTGTATATTCATTCGGTAGAAAGAAATTAATAGATGGTTAGAAATGAATAGTATATATTTGATGTGGAAAACTATAAAAAACTTAGAAATCATTGTTGTCATTGTTATGTCACATTTTATTATCTTACTTTATGAACATAATATAATTGAAAATTGTCTATTCATAATAATAAAAAATAATTATACACAAATAGTACGTAAAGTTGGCACTAAATGTACCAAATTCGCATTGCGCATCCATTTGACGATGACATTTACGTTATATATCATTCAGAGTGTGGAAGCAGCATTATAAATACAAATACTACTACAAATATATTCATAATACAAATAAACTAATGCAACATATAATTGTCTTATCCAATATTCATACACAACTACATAATTGTTTCTTAAAATTACAATGAATTGCATACGATTTGATAATTGTGGCGCTGTGAAGACGGCCAAAAGCAATTAACGAAAATAGATAAATTGCCCGGTGCACCATATGCGTATTCAAATGCGATCGATTTAAATAAATCGCGAATTGAAATTGAATTTATTCGCATATAACTTATTCAAACGCACGTATTTGCATTTAGTCATCGACGCGACTCAATCAGAAACACAAATTGTCTTATATATATATAATATAGTACTTCAAATCGACCCATAAATAAACGCAGCTATTTATATACCATCATCTTTCATTGCCAATTATGTAAATCGATAAGAAACGTTTTATTTATAATTTAATGGATTAAATGCAATTATTTTATGCAATTCTTGTTGAAAGTAATCTTTTCGATTTATAAAATTTCTTAAGTTGAACATTGGACATATCAGAACATCTACGTTTTGATGGAAATGAAAAAGTAAAAAAGTAGATTGTTTGTTGAAAGAAGATGTTGAAAACGTACTGTCCTCAATTATGTTGTTGATGATATTCATATTCAGCTACGCAAGCAATTCGAACTGATACTAAATTATTTCTTGCAATGTTTATAAATCAGATTTCTTTCTCAACTATTTTCTCTATATTACAACAACGAACACTATACATTCTTTACTCCTTACTATTTGTACTTAACTTTATCTATGTATAATTAATTTTTTTATCGCTTGGGCTACAATGTATTAATTATATACTTAAACTGAATGTCTAAAGTATATGCAAAGTCGGTACTTTACTTCACTCACGTCTGCAAGTACTGCTTACATAAGTACATGGTAAGTATCGTGTAGTCTTTTTAATTTATTACAATTGAATTAAAGTAGTAAATAAAATAATAAGCACCAAATTCCATAATCTCCCTTGCATCTTATTTTTTTCTTTGATTTGATATTTGAATTGACAACCCTTGTATTGACACAATAATTGATTAATCTTTGACAGTTCAGTTGGTAATTATACAATACTTTGAAAACACTTTGTATAGTAAAATACATATCTGTTATGTTATTTTTTTTTTTACAAAAATATATCCGTTTTTACTTAACATATAACTTTGTTAATCACAAATTATCATAATTCTTCATTCATTCGTTCATTGTTTCTTCTGCGAGTTTTAAACAAATTACATATTTTTTTAGTCTACCAGCAACCCGCATTACGCAACGTTAGTGTTTTAATTGTCATTATGTTAGTAAGTTTGAGGTTAACGTACCGTTTATTATTATTATGGCTGTCAACTTTTCGATGCTTATGAACCCTCACTGCAGTGTATTTTTTGATCTGAGTTTTGAACTCATCACCTAATTATTTCTACTTGATAAACTATGAACGAGTTCTCCCAAAAAACGGAAAAGCGCAAACAAATTTTGGAGATACGTGGTAAGTAGTACACAAAATGTATATGCAAAATGTATAGAAGTTATTACTTATCTATTTTTTTTAATAAAATCAACTTAAGTTGGTACACACGCCAATTGACAGTATACAAGCAAGTGACAAGCAGCGGGGCCAAAGTAAATATTATTTTTCGAGGACAGTTGGTACGATTCATCTACAAAACATAGGAGAGAAGAAGATATTTCGGATGAAATCGGAATCAATCTGAACCTTTCAAATTTGTATTTTGCGAAAAACAAAATTTGATGGTAGTGTTTTTTCAAATTTGTAATTGACAATTGAAAAAAAACTTTCATTAAATATTTCGACCAATTTCGACATACGAAGTTAAATATTTACATCAATTTTCGACTTTGAGAAGATTGCAGACGAACAGTAGCAGCAAGTAAGCAAGTAATATACATTATACATATATACAAGGTACACTGGATCATACTGCACATACAATTTTCTGTATCTATTTAAGTTGTATAAATAATATATTAAAACATAAAACAGAAGTTGTCAACGAGGGAGATATGCTGCAGCAACAAATATTATTATATGCAAGAAAGCATAAATAAAGTTGTTGAGTATCGCTGAGAATTCGAATAATCTCTATTTTTTGCGTCGAAAGGACTGATGAGTTGCAGTTGCATCAAGAGAATAAATAACAGCCTTTTGTATTGTGTTTTATTGTGTAATATTTTTACAGTTGGCAATGGTCATCTGACCTTTTTTTGAGTAGGGATTTGAAAAAAATAACAAGCGGCTTTGGTATCCCTGGTGACAAGTAGTAGAAGATGGTGTGAAAAAGTGTGAAAAGTTGATAAAGTTGAAAGGAACGCACCGAAGCGGTTGTATTGGTGGAAACGTGCGAGGGGCGGGGCCTAGCTTAATCAGCCAGCATCTTTCCTACTGGCTCTCATCTCCCTTCACTTAGATGCCCGAAAGCGAATCACAGCATCCGTTCCTCTTACTCTCTTCCAATCCCAGAACAAGTCATGCGCGTTGACGCGCACACCCCACGTACCGTGCCAACGAACCCGAAAGATCGCCGAAAGGCATTGATTCGAATTGATCCGAAGGATGCATAAAATGGAAACCACACATGATTCACATCATTTCGAGAGGCGAATGCTAAACGCGAACGTATCCGATCCATTCGACGGCGAAGATCAAAAACGAAAAACCACAATCTATTGTTTAATGACAAATGTTGTGTTTTCCATTTGTCTTTTCGACTCTATTTATTTTAATCTTTTTGTCGGGGACAGACGGATGAGTCAAAGCCGAATTCTCGAAATTGATCGATCGTGTTTAACGCTTCGAATGCGTATCTAAATTTAGTGTGAATATAATTCCTTCGTTGGGGTTGGTCTCATATATCCGATGCCTTTTTTTTTCGTTTTCTCTCTTTCTCTAAGAGGATGAGCGTCGAGGATGCCTAATAGGATGTTGGGCTGCGTCTGGGTTTCACCGCTTACTTTTAGGGATTCACCTCCGTTATGTGATATACTCGCAGCTTAATCATTCCGGATGTTACAAGTATTCATCCTAGTTCACCATCGGAAACACTTCAAGTTTTTCATATTAAAAAAAAAACGCTGAGAAGAAAAGGCGAGGAAATGATGTAGATATTTAAATAGCTGAATAAGAGCGTTTAGAAAATAATAGCAAATTTAGAATATCTCCAATTATTTGTATCAGATCTTTATTGAAATCATATAAAGACTAAAATATGTCAATTGCTAATATAAAATAATCAATGTTATAGTAAAAATCTTAATTGAATAAAATAAATTATGTTTAAAAATGAGTCTAAATAGCATACATGCATTTCGATTTTGAGAAACGAAACGGGAATTACAATTAAGCAATTGACACAATAATATCGAACCGTATCAATTAAATTAAATTTAATATTGAAACGACAATTACAGTGCGGTTTTTCACGCGAAATACGATCGATATTAAGTCATTAAAATGCTCTCCACTCTTCCGTTCGGCTTTCCCATGTGGAAAAGTGCGCAATTATACGAGGTGCGAGATGAGAGTGCAACACAACGAATCATGATTACATGTATATATGTTTATTTGTTTGTTTGTTTGTTTTTTTTTTCACATCTGTTTTGTTTAAATGTAATTTGAATATAATTTTAGCGGTGAGCGTATCGCAAGATCAAACAATACAAATACCTTACCATAAAGGTGTTGAGGAGATGGAATGCATCATCACGCACTCCACGGCGACCGCCGCACCGCGCCATGCCACGTGCTTTATTGCCTCGAAATAAAAGGACAAAAGCAAATAAACATCGTACATTTAATTAATAAGAAGAATAAGAAGAAAGAGGAGGAGACGTCGAAGAATAAACATAGAGAAAAACAATTATAAAATAAGTTTTTATTTATTCTGTTCCTAAGCGACTCTGGTTAATCAGTTGACAGTTTGTATGAACATGTAAAGAGTACGTTGCCTGGCGTCTGTCATGTAATTGATATTTGACATTTTAAGAAAATTAATTAATGCTTTTAAGAAATTTACTTTAGAAGAACAAACAACATGCATTAACTATTGGTTAAAAAATGTT